GTTAATCAGTCTATTTCTGTACTTATTTCAACATAAGTAACGTTCACATTAACGAATGTGAGTAAATAAATTATAGAGTCAAATTAAAACATCTTCTTGAGTTAAATGATTTAATTGCATCATTAAATTAATCACGTATTGAGAAAAATGAGAAGGATATTGTAATTTTACAATGTTTTAATAAGCATTTTTCAAATATTACTCGCGCGAATATATTTTTATGTAATAATAATAATATATCTGCTTATTGTATAATAATAATAAATTTTTTTAAATATAAATTTTTTAATGTTTCAAAGTAGTCAACGGAGGAATGACGGCATTTGGAATAATTCGTGCATAAAAAAATTAGAGTGAAATAGGCCTACTGGGGAAACCACTATAAAAAAAGCGCACCATGCTATCTACCTCATGACAGGTGGTGTGGAAATGATAGCATTTTATCATTTTGGATAGATATTTACTTACAAGTAGCTTCATAATAAAATTACCTCTATCTATCATAAATTCTTTTAAAAATAATAATTTTTTTAAAAAGTTTTGAAAATTGCTGCCAACATAGAGTTTCGAAAGGTAAAATCAGGCCTCATGTGTGAAGCGATTTTCAGCTTTCTCCGCTATATCTCAAAAACTATTCGAGATATAAAAAAATGTTTTATACAAAAGTTTTACAATAAAATTGCCTCTATTTATTCACGTCAATAATATTTTTTTAGAATAATTATTTAACAATTTTTTTTCGAAAATTTTGACAAAAAATTGGTAAATAATTGTTCTAAAAACGCGAATGAATACAGCTGATTTTGTTGTAAAACTTTTGCATAAAACATTTTTTTATATCTCAAATATTTTTCGAGATATAACGGAAAACGCTGAAAACCGCTTTATACGTTAGAAGTGATTTCACCCCTTCAAACCGTTTTTAACCGCAACTGATATTTTCTAAATTCATCTCTTTATGTAAGCTACAAGTTCACAAAGTTTCATTAAAATCAGAATTTATCACCTCGAGGGGTTCCCTTATAAGACAAGTTTGCACATAGCAACGCGCTGACCTCATTTTCAGCCATTTTACAACATATATATTCGCGCGCTTGTCATATGATTTGAAAGTACTAAGCGAAAAGTAATAAGTAATAAAAGTAATAAGTAGTAAGTGAAATAAATAAGTAATAAATAATAATGCCGACATGTTGCGTGAAAGGCTGCAAAAGTCGCAGCAGCCAGCCATTAAAATATAAATCAATAAGTTTTTTTTCGTTTCCTAAAAACGAGATACATAGAAAGGTATGGATAGAAACGGCCCGTGTGAATAATAACATCAATATGAAACATGGTATATATATCATAAATTTTATAATTTAACATGCTCTACAAGCTGTCAAAATGAATAAGTTCCTTTTATTGACATTTCTGCTATTATAATGTATACTTTTGCATCTCGCATATGTTCCATTCATTTTAAAACATGTTATCAAAGTTCTTGGCAAACACCAATATTAGGCTTTTCTCTAAAAAAATCGGAGAAAATTAAGATTTGATGCGAATCCAACGGAATTCTTGAACATGTCTACAATTCCTTCTGCACATCACACAAGTAAATTTACTCTCTAAATCCCTTATAAATAAAATCAACAAAAAATAAAGTAAAATTTCAAATTGAATGAGATCTTTATATATAATATATAATATAAAATATAAATATATATACATTTTGACATATAATTGCTTCCTCAGATGAAGCAGGTAATTCTTTAGACATTGATGTAAATATAATAGATGTGACAATAGATTGTGACACACAGTCACCTCAAAAAGATATATAAGCAACATCAATAAGTATAAATATATTTATATCCAATATAGGAATATGTATAAATAAAATAAATAACATAAAAGATAAATTGTTAAAAAAATAAATATTTATTAGATAGCAGTTTAGATATTTTACGTTGACATCAACTAATCACAACAATCGTCCAAGTAAAACTCTAAGCACCGATCGCTGTAAGCGGCTGTGTAGAGCTGTCACAGTCTTAGAAAACCTGTAAAACCTTTCAAGTAATGGAATTTAAATTGTGCATTCTTACATTAATTTTATAAAAGCAAGTGAAAGTAAATAACTACGCCTCAGACAACACACAATATTTATAAAATATTTACAATTACAATATTTACAATTTACAATTTAAAATACATATAAATTTACAAATTTATAAAATATTTACAAATCATTTTCTGAGGCAACTCTGCTGTCTCAACGTGGTCAAACGGGTTCTTGATATATAGATATATGATTTAGATTTTTCTTTAGGGAATAATATCAAGTTGTCCAGTCTTTATTGAAAAAGAGTACAAATTTCAAAAAAGTTATAAAGCTCTTGTAAAAGAAAACTGTCGACTTCGATTTAGGTCCAGCATCTTATAATTAGCTCATAATCATTATATTGTGATCAAGGATTTAATTACAATGAAGAAACTATAAAAAAGTCATGTCTTGATAAATTACTAGCCATTAACAATAAAAACTTAAAAATAGCTTTCAAGTTAACACAGAGTCATTTAGATGTTGCAAAATCTGATCGGCAAAAAGTAAAGGCAGCTACGCAATTATTTTCCAATACCAATGCTGCAGCTGTTGAATGGTATGGTTTAAAAGGATTTTTGAAATCAGAACCTTGGTTACAAATTGCATATATTCTAAAATTATTTAATGACTGGTTTAATGTATTTAATAGTACGCATGTGTATGGAAAGCACCTAGGGCTGAATGCATATGGTATAGAATTAGAAAAGCAGAATGTTATACTTGAGAAAATGACTTTATTCATTCAAGAAGCGAGGATCTGTGATCATAAAACACTTCTTCCTTTCCAAAAAGGAATTATTCTGAACAATTCTTTTCATTAAGAAATTTATTTAAATATTTAAAACAATGATACACGCCACAGAAACACCTGTTCATTACATACTACGTAATCGATTGAATCAAGACGTGATCGAAAACTTTTTTTCATATATTCGAGCAATAGGTTCTGGATATGACCATACAACACCATTAGAATTTCGAAACCGATTACGTTGGTACATATTGGGAAAAAATAGTACTGATGTATTTACGACGAGAATCACGACTCTACCGAATTATGCTTGGCCAACTGTGACATACTGATTATCTCTCGGAAAGCAATGCCACGATGGAAGATGTAGAATTTCGCCTTTTAGAAGACACAGACAATAATTTAAGTCTAGTGATTACAATGAGCAAAATAAAAACAATGGTAAATTTAAATTATAATATATAATATATACATTATATGTATTATCTAGGTGTTAAACTTAATTCCTGCCGCTCGCTACTAGAGGGCTCTGCCTCCAATGCTGACGAGAAAGTGATTCAATCCTTTTTGAATTGATTGAAACAGGTTAGATTTCTCGACGCAAAAGAGATTTTCCAATCGATTGAAAATGAATCGCGATAAGTTGTTTTTCCGACATGTGCTTCTTCACTACTTCGACCTCAAGAAAACCGCAGCTGTTGCGCATCGCTTATTATCCGAAGTGTATGGTGATGAAACTCCATCGGAAAGAACATGTAGAGTTTGGTTTGAACGCTTCCGAAATGGTGATTTTGATGTGAGAGACAAAGAACGTCCAGGACAGCCGAAAAAATTGGAAGATGTCGAGCTGCAAGAATTGCTTGATGAGAATCCAGCTCAAACGCTTTTAGAGTTGTCGAAACAGTTAAATGTTACTCCAAAGGCCGATTTAGTGACGAATTGATGTAAAAAAGATCATTCGTAGTCAACGATCGACGCAAAGTCATTTTGTTGCATGATAACGCTCGACCGCATGTCGCGAAAAGCGTGAAGCAGGCCCTTCTAGAGCTTGAATGGGAAGTTCTCCCGCATCCAGCGTCCTCTCCAGACTTGGCACCGTCGGATTACCATCTCTTCCGGTCGATGCAATACGCACTTACGGACATACACTTCTTCAATCACAACGAAAATGGGTGGATGAATGGATCGCCTCGAAAGACACCGGGTTCTACCGTCGTGGGATTGCCCTGTTGCCAGAGAAATGGGAAAAAGTAGTAGAAAATGGAGGAAATTTTTATTCATTCATCTTCCCTTCGAAACAAATTAATTTTGGAGACGAAAAAACGGCAGGAATTAAGTTTAACACCTAATATATCTCATATATTAGATAATACATATTATTAGATAAAATATATTATGTATAGATAATACCACCTTGATCAAAAAGTTCCCGGAATTCATTCAGAAAATTCAAAATACAAGTTCATTCATCAAAAGTGATATTGTCCCCTTCAAAGTACTCCCCATCGAGTGCAACGCACTCATGCCAGCGCTTAATCCAGCTCTCGAAACATTTCTGGAACTCTATTGTTTCGTATAGCCATCAGAGTTGTGTTCGATTTTTCCATTACCTCCTTTCGGCTATTAAAACGCATTCCCCATAGTGGTTTTTTGACTCGAACGAACAGAAAAAAATCGCAGGGAGCCATATCGGGAGAATTCGATGGCTGTTGGATGGTATTCGTTTCGTTCTTGGTCAAAAATTCACGGATAATGATGGCACTGTACGACGGTGCGTTATCATTGTGCAAAATCCACAAGTTGTTTGCCCACAAATCCTTTCTTTTTTGGCGAATTGCTTCACGCAAATGTCTCATAACGTCCAAATAATACTCCTTATTAACTATATGACCTTCTGGCAAAAATTCGTGATGTACAATACCGTTGTAATCCATGAAAACCGTGAGCATCGCTTTCTTTTTCGACTGAAAACGACGTGGTTTTTTTTATCTTGGCTCATTGGAGCTCTCCATTCACTCGCCTGATGTCTGGATTGCGTGTCGTACTCATAAACCCACGTCTCGTCTGCAGTAATGATGCGTTTGATGAATGTTGGGTCGGATTCAGCCTTGGAAATCATGTTTTTAGCGATGTCAACGCGGTCCCTTTTTTGCATGAAATTCAGTTCCTTCGGGACCAACTATGCAGCAACACGGCGCCTAAAAAATCTAAATCATTAACTACAATGTCCTGAACGGATCCATAAGCAACGTTTAAGTCCTCTGCCAGCTCTCTGATAGTTAATTTGCGGTTATTGATCAACATTTTTCTCACTTTATTGATGTTTTCGTCGGTTTTCGATTTCGACGGCCTGCTACTGCGTTTGTCATCCTCGACGGATTCACGACCACTTCTGAAGCGTTCATGCCACTCGTAAACGGTTGTTTTCTTTAGAGCACCACTGCCGAAACAGTTTCCCAACATTTCCATGGTTTTCGCACCATTGAATCCATTTTTAACACAAAATTTAATACAAACTCGTTGTTGCAAATTCAACTCCATTTTTAAAACTGTAAAAAATCGAAAACACGTGCAGAGGTAGATATACTCAAGAAAGCGTAACTTTTACAAATGTCAAGCTATGGCGATAAAATTTGGTGGAAATGTCAATGATAGATGTGGCAACCTAACCAAAAAAACAGAACTCAAATCAGCTGACTCAGAGTATCACCTGGTGGTAATTCCGGGAACTTTTTGATCAAGGTGTACAGGATGAGGAAAAAGTACCGGGACAACTAAATAACTTCTGAACGGTTCGCGATAGAGGATTGAAGTTTATAGGGATGCAAAGGGGTGATCCCGATTGACCACGGCTCGATTGGACACCACCAATCACAGCGACCGGTGCTTAGGAGCTTTGTAGTCTCAAGCGCTGTGAGTGGCTCGTGTGCAATTGAGCCGTGTCCAACTGGGTGCCACCCGATGCAAATGGCATCGTAAAATCTATCATTTAATATCAAAAAAACCCATTTTAACACTTCCAAGGGGCAGGAGTGAAAAGGGACGGAAAAATCTTAAATTGCACGTGGAGTCGAGTGAGGGCTCGTTCGAAAGGGCCTTCCAAGATGAGAACAACGCGTGGTGTCCCAGATCTCTGCAATATTTTTTCGTAGAGTTATGATTATTTAAACATTGAGATTTCGCAGTAGCAAAGAGCTCACGGCGAGGACGTGAGAAAGACTTTGCGCGGGAACGTGTGGATAAAAGTGCATGTGGGAAGGAATGTGGTGCGTGCGTGCGTGCGTGCGTG